TACTCTAGCTTTAGTCATTCTTTCTTTTTGCTTCTTGCATTTGACACAAAATATAACTCTTGGTCAAAAGGAGTAAGAGACTTTATTCTGGGCCGAATACGAGTAACTGTGGTTAGGGTACGTGTATTCAGCCCAGCGACAGACTCCCCCGGGAAGCTGTTACACAAGCTTTACAGTCATGGGACAAACAGAAGTTAGAAATCAAGGTGCTTGGCAAATGTGTTGGTAAAGACATTGGGCAGAAGTCTAGCAGAGCAGGGGAATCTCTACTATCGGTTTTAGGTGCAAGACAGTTCTGAGATTTGGGTTAGTTGAAGCTAATAGTCTCTCCCCTAAGTTAATACCTTCCATTGGCTGTCAGGTCAGGCAGTTAGGTAGGTGATAAATGGCTATTAAGGAGACTAAAGATAGCCCATGATAATCTTGGCTCTTTATCTGCAACCGTCCAACTTCCTGTAGTCACTAATTTTAATTGGTCTGCATAATACTCAACATAGGTAAAAAGGCTTTTTCCAAGGAACTTCCCTTAACTCTGCCAAAAAAAAAAAAACTGCCTTAGAATTCCTTCCTTCTCCCACAATAGCCTGGGAACTCCTGGAGGATGAATCTGTGAGTTTTGACTTCACTAGAGTTGTACACAGCTTGTACGCACACAATTCGTTTCTAGAATAAATGGTGTCGAGCCTGTACAAAGGTGAGGCTCCGTTCTCCATCATCCCCCATGCAAACTTCACAGCTGAGATGAATTAATCATTTAAAATTAGACTTCGCCTCCTACTAATGCATAGGATATGGCTGGGTCTGGCTTATCCTGTGGCCATATGTCATTAGGAAATTCGAAGAGGAGGTTAAGGTTTGGGTCATCTGCCAAGAGTTGCACATGTAGCAGACTTTCGTCAGGGAACACTTTTGTGAGTGGGGTTGAGGAGCTGCAGAGCCAGGGAGGAGACCTGTGCTCTTCATTTGCATAATAAGCATGTGGTTTGTTCACTCACCTAAGATGGGGAAAGGGGGGAGAATGAAGCCCCTCCCACCAGGCCAGGAAAGATGCCCTGCATGTTCACAGGCAATCAAAACATGCCCCCTTCCCTGCCAGGTTATGCTGCTATCAGGCCCCCCAGTTAAATGTGGGAAGCAGCTACACAGACATTCTAGAACCCAGGGACGAAGCACTGACAAGCCTGTTTATATTCTGCAAGGCTAGCAGGTGGAGTGGCTCCCTAGTGAACTCCAACACCTGAAATTCAAATTTCCTGGCTAAGGGAGTAAGGTGCTGTGCTATTTGCTGACAGTTATGAGCCATAATTGTGCTTAAATGATACCGCAGACTGTACCTGTTCTGCCCAAATGACTGTGCCTGGGTTTACAGCCTGCCCTGAGAAGTCACTCCAATACTATTAGATTTTTTTTAAACAGCCCAAATGTGGAGCTTAGTGATTTATGCCTGTGGAAATTTATAGATTTTGTTAAATATATCCTCCAACTCTAAAAAACGATAGCGACCAATTTTGTTTATGCACCTCAGTGTGTTGTTTGTGTGGCTAAAAGTCAGGTTGCCATCAACTGAGAGAATTAAACATGAGTCAATGGCTAAGAAAACTTTCAAAGATTCAGATAAAGATAGCTGCCTTTAGCTGGCTGAGTGACTGGTGCCTAGTTAAAGTGACAGATGCATTAATATCTCTGCAGTGATACACAAATACTGCAGTGGAACGCTAACATTGGATTTCTTTAGAGGTGTGTGTATGTGTGTGTGTGTGTGTGTGTATGCATGCATGTAAACATACATGAGCATAAATACCAGAGGTCAACCCTGGGCATCTTTTTTCAAGAGCCTTCCACATTATTATTATTATTATTATTATTATTATTATTATTATTATTATTATTTTGAGCCCAGATCCCTCACTGAAACCTGGGGCTTACAGATTAGGCTAGGTTGGCTGGCCAGGAATTTCCCCTGTCTCCATCTCCCCAGTACTAGAATTACAAACATGTGTCACTACATTGAGTGTTGACTTGTCCTTGGGAATTAAACTCTGGTCCCCACGCTTGCAAAGTCAGTACTTTGCAAAGGAACCCTGTCACCAGCCTTACCAGTTCTGGTTCAGTTAGGACCCACCGCTGTGAATGCTAAGATCTGCTGCCAGCTTTTACTAATATAATTTTGCTACTGTGGTTGAGGGCGGTAGAAAGAGGGAGGGAGGCCGTCCTTTTTATCTCAATACAAGGCATCTGCTCATTTCTCCATGGGGACAGTTTAATTACCTTAGTGCATCAACATAACTATGCCAAAGCTGAGAAGGAAAGAAATGAGCAAGCGGAAAACATCTTTGCCTGTGACACCGTAGGGGTTGGCCCTTGAGAGGAAAAGGTCAGAAGTCTGTGCTTTTTAAATCTCCAACCATGGCAACGGTAAGGTGATATCATGATGCTAAGATACTGTTCATCTTATAAACAGACAGAGGGCGTATGTGTGCCCCAGAATGCCTCAGTCAAAGGAGACTGAGACAAAGCAAATACTGAGTTAGTATTCCCCTACTGCAGGACAGGTCAGAGAAACCTTTGTAAAGTAGGAGGGCTAAAAGGGTGTGAGTTTCTTGGGCATCCTTTTTGGTCTCTCTCTCATCATCATTCAAGAGCTCATAGCCTGTGCCCCAGTCTGGAGCCACCACACAGAACATGGAGTGTGGATGGATCAAAGTGTTCCTGTTCTCAAGCAGTAGGATGCAGATGCCTTCTTGCCAGATTGTAAACAAAGACTGTAGACAAAGGCGAGTAAGAATCTGTATTCTAGAGACACCAGCACTCATCTTGACCTCACTCAGGTGATTCCAAGTCTCTTAACGGAGGTACAAATGTTCAGGCAATTCTCCAGCAACACAGTAGGTACCACCTACCTCTACATCCTTTCATGCCTTCATGATGAGACATGTCACTCAATCACTTTCTCTGACAACTTTGCTAGTCATTCTGTGTGTATCTTCCTTGTGACTCAACAGTGGCCTCAAGGCCAGGAGAGGCAGTAACCACCGGGAAGCTGAGTTCAGCAGATGACTGAGCCATAATTTGATACCAGCAGTTGGGTTTTTCATGTCATCAGGACATAAGGACATCACTTGCTGAAGCAGTTAAGGCTAAAAGCATACAGATTCTTGCTGGCCCGCAGTTCTGCCATGACTGAAGCATCTTTGGATCTTAAAAACAAGGTCATCCATGAAATTGTTAAAGGCCTCCAAGATGGAAACAATATCTTTCATTCTTCAATTTTTTCTGCTCTATTAAAGATAAAATAGCTCAGTGATAGATCTAAGTGTTGGGTCAAAGGCATTCCTCTCCAAGTAAATCAGAGCTGCTGTTGCTTTGGAGACTTAATAGTTTAATTGAATATTCTGAAGAAGCAGGGTTTATGTTGTTGCTTGTTTCATTTTTTAACTGAGCAAAAGTTTTTTTCATGAAGCTCCAGGTTTTCAGGCACATTTTGTCATTAAACAACAGAGATGCATGTGTGATGTGAGATTCCTCTTTGAATGCTATGAACGCGTTTTATTACCACTAGGATTAAATAAGTTGTTTTGGTCAATGGCTTAGTAGAGTAAAGCCAGGCCAGAAATCTGAACAGAGATACAAACAGAAAGTAGGCAGAGTCAGGAAGACACCATGTAGCTTCTGAAGGAGAAAGACACCAGCCACCAGCCATAACCTTACTGGTAGGTCACAGCCTCGTGGTGATACATGGATTAATAGAAATAGGTTAATTTAAGATGTAAGAGCTAGCTAGGATTATGCTAGAGTCATTGGTCAAACAGTGATGTAATTAAGATAGTTTCTTTGTTATTATTTGGGTCTGAGTAGCCAGGAAATGAACAAGCAGTCTCTGTTTATACATATGCAATGAAGGTGGGTTTGCATTTCAGCTTATATTATTTTGGCCAGCACATGCGAACTAAAACGCAAGCATATTTATAGCTATAAGGTGATATTTCAATTCACAAATAGGTTATACCATATTTAAATCCAGTGAAGCAGAGTTTTGCTTTTGTCTTCTCATTTTAAGTCCCAGTGAATCTTCTTTAGTGGCCATGCACAGGACAGTTTCAAGTCCCCATGGCTGTTGACCTGTGTGTTGGAGGATACGGGTGGGAAGTTGTTAGGCTTTTACTCTCTCTGTAGCTTACTCAACTCACAATAAATAGCTAGAAACATGCTGAAAAGTGTGTGTGTGTGTGTGCGCGCGCGCGCGCACGCAGAGGTTATGGACAGTTGTGATCTAAAAGGCGTGGATGGTGGGGTGGGATCCAAACCCCAGTCCTCAAGACTAAATACAGGTGCTGTTGTTAACTGCTTGTCCACCGCTCCAGCTCCAGTGGAGAAACTGCATTTTAAACTACAGCGTTCTGAGAGTTAAAAGGATTTATGTGTAAAGCATACATATTATCAAATATTCAAACAACCTTTACCAAGTTTACTTTTTCTATAGTCTGTGCAAATTGTTGACTATTACATTACTACATAATGCTAGCGACTGGAAACACTGATAAGCTAAATGATTGCCATAAGAGGAACACAGTGTTTATGTATATATTAAGCAGTGAAGTGAAGTCCCCGAGGGGACTGTTATCGCTGTTTCCTCCCAACTTGGTACATCCTTGGACGTTAGCCAAGGGGGTATCGCTAATGGTCGTTAGGAGTAATTAACCATTTCTACAAAGATCTTGGCCTGTGGATGACTTATTAAGGAGTTGGGCATTTCTTAAAGGGTCGTGGGTACTCTTTAAAGTCTCATCCAGAATCCTTAGCTGCCTTTTAAAGATATCTCTCTCTCTCTCTCTCTCTTCTCTCTCTTTCACACACACACACACACACACACACACACACACACACACACACACACACGGGGGGGGGGAGAGAGAGAGAGAGAGAGAGAGAGAGAGAGAGAGAGAGAATAAATTTTAAAATACTGAAAACCACTGGAAACAGAAACAAAATTTTCTGAGAAATGAGTGGACATTCAGAAAATTCATTGTGTACAGGTCGTCATAGCGAGGAAACAGGACAGAGAGCCAAGAAAAGTTTGCTTGGATTTTGTTCCATCATTGTGTGCGACAAGTGTGTGGCAAGTGGGCCATCTCGGTTCTTGAAGCCTTGTTTTCTTTTCCTGGAAGACCAGAGGACATCTTCTGAGATCTGTATAAAGATAAAGTGAGGGAGTTGACAGGAAGCATTTTAAATAATGGGACTCATCTCTTATTATAGAGATAATCCAGATTCTTAAATGTCAAGGTCATTGAAAAATAAATATTAGATTTCCTGTCAAGCTGGGTCTAAAGCGGCCAGATGACATGTTCTCTGTCTGGTCATGTTCCCTGTTTAAACCACCAGTTCCCTACTTGCGGTATTGTAATTGTTTTGGTAGCTGAGCAGTTTGCTGGTCCCTCCTCATGTCTCTTCAGTCAAGTCTTTAACTTTGCACAACAAGTTCACGTAGAGCTTAAAATTATTAACCATAACCTTTTCCTAGAAGTCCCACTGACGAGACACATTCTAATTCTAAAGCCACCTTCTGGTCTTCTTTCTTTCTAGTTAATTTTCATTCAAATTACCTAAGCAGCAAGTGATTAGTTTAGAAATTTGAAAAACGGAAAGTCAGGTTGAATATAAAATTACATAATGCCATTATTTTTAAGAAATTATCTGATCAAAGGGTAAAAGACTCCTATGCCATGGGACACAATTCCCAGGGACCGTCCCCATATTCCCTGGAGCAGGTATTATACCCTTTCTTCCTTCTCCACCCGTATCTAGCTCATCCAGAAAACCCCATATGTGACCAATCGTTACAGCACACTGCTTGATAGTCTTTCAATTTATCATTGCATAAACCCATAGCTTTGCACAGTTTTTAACTTAGTCCATTTAAAGCTATATTTTCACTTTATCGTTTATTAATTTGATTTATGCCTTATGTTTATTTCAGGCAATAAGTGGTCTCAGTGTGTGCTTTGTATTGAATCTACTAGCCCTAGGAGTAGTTACAATAGACAACCTCTCTAGCAGGTGCAGTCCCAAGAATCCCTCAACTGGCATTTTGTCCCCAACCTGGACCTTTTCCTGGAAATTCTGATGTGGAGGAAGGAAAAGGACAGGGATAGAAGACTTTTAAAAAGGACCAAACCTCTCGTGTGCTTTACTTTTGCCATAATGGTCAACATGCTTGTTAATGAAGCCTTCATTTTTGTTGTTCTTTCTGCAATATACTCTGAGCCTTAAGGGTACTGTGCCCATCATGTTCTAAGTATGGAACAAACACACAATAGCTAGTTGTCGAGGGGGCAGGATGAATGAACAGTCCTAGAACCCAGGCTATGTCATTTCAGAGACATACTTCCTGGTACATTTATGAAAATCTAAGTGTCCTCAGTTGACAATTAGGTGACAATTTAACCCTAAATATGACTTCTAAGATGGAAAGTTCTAGTGGAAGTTGTCACTCACATTTTAAGGCAATATGCCTTGTGTAATAGCTGAGAGAAAGCATATCTTGGCACACTGAATATAAAGCAGACCTCCTTCTCTATGTGGGGTGCATTCCAAGTCCCCAGTTGAGGCCTGAAACATATGGCTGGTACTGACTCCCATATCTGCTTTGTTTTATTCTAAATATACACAAACTCCTGATTAAGCTCAATCAAGAACTAGACACAGTGATAAGTTAACAACAGCTAGTATGTAGTGGGATACTGAAATACAGTTAGACCATCTCATTGATGGATTCCTAAGAATACTATAGAACAGCCATGAAGTCCTATGGTAAACTGGTCTTTGCACCAGCAATAAATTCCTCTATAATGTGACCCTGAGCTAAAGACTGACTGCCCGACTACTTGACTGCTCTCTTTCAGTTTCTGTAAGCAATGCTTTGCTTTCTGTAACTGTCCAGAGCTGCTTTTCCATACACATCACAGTTGTGTTCTTTGCCCTAAACAACTTGAATCAACTGGAGGTTGAGGCTACTTCCCACTGATCTACTTGGGACAGTCTTGCCAGCGGTTATAAAGTCTCCACTCTACCTACTTACATTTTTCTGGAATTTTTTCTCTTCAGGTACCCTCCCCCCCAAATAACAAGTAATAAAGGAAAATGATGTGGTCTCTTCTGCAAAATAGTTAGCTGTACTGTATACATATATGATGTGTTTGCTTTACTGAGTGCTTTCATCTTCACCCTAGAGAAAGCCCATCAAGGCATCCACATCACCATCATCAACACTGGTCCACTTCAAGACCAAATCAAACCAGGCAAGAGCTACTTGAATGCCATCATTGCAGTACTATGATGGTTTCTCTTGGCTGCTGAGGAGGCCTACTAAGCGACTCAAAGACATATCATGTGGATAAGCAAGGCAAAGACAATGCCTTCTGTCCCAGGTAGGATACAGTTAATGATGCATAATCTCATCATGTTACCGAGAATGGCTGAGAGTTAAAACATAAATCCTTAGTTTCTGAAATTTTCCATATTTTGGATCAAAGATGACCAGGAGTCACCAAGAGCATCAAACTGACTCTATGATCAAATTCACTATTTGCGCCTTAGTTTGATCCGATATCAGCCCCAAATTATAATTCTGACTCTGTGAAACAATACTACAGTAAGGAACTGAAAGGCTATAAATTCAAGGTAAGTGAAGATCTGTGTGTCTTAGAGAGAAGGAAGACTCTCTGTCACCAAGACTGCCCCCTTCAGAGGAAGTTTCCTGGTGTTTACAAAATGGCAGCCAAAATCTAGAAAGACTTTCTGTTGCCAGAATCAAAGAGATGGATACTTTATCTCTAGCGTCAATGTTTACATAATATAAAAGCCTCTTAACCAAATTACAAGCATTACTTAAATACATATGTCACTTTCTCATTTACCTATCTTGGACAGCCATGCCAAAAATGTTGCACTTTCATTCCTAGGAGTTTTTTTCCTACAGAAATAATCAGGGATATATGCAAATATTGAAAGAAATTCTATTTATCCCAACATCATACATATTAGGAGAACACCAAAAACAATTCTAGCATCCTGTTCTCAGAGACTGAGCAAGTGCAATGTGGTGTAGCCACTGGACAGCACATTATGAGACTGTTGAAAGGCAAGTCACAGAAGGACTTCAAATTATGTAGGGCAAGAATCACAGGTTATCTCATTGCATACTGTTCAACAAAAAAAGAATGGTTTGTAAATGAGCACAGCTGTAGATCTCTCCATCTCTATAGGAGGTTAAGACTGATGAGACTCCACAGATACCAAACTGGACAGATCCTCAAGTCCCTTATATAAAGTGACACAGTGGTTTTTTTAATATAACATAACACCCCTCCATTGTCTTAGTCAATATTCTATTGCTATGAAGAGACATACATGATCAAAGGCCACTCTTATAAAAGAAACCATTTAATGGAAGGCGTGTGTGTGTGTGTGTGTGTGTGTGTGTGTGTGTGTGTTGCTGGGTATCAAACCCAGGGTCCCATGTCCTAGGTAAATGCTCTGCCCCTGAACTGTATTCCTAGCCCTCCCGTGTATGTTAACTAATCTCTAAGTTTTACACAACAGCTAATACAATGCAAATGCTATGCAAACACTTGTCATACTACATTGTTTAGTGATGACAAGGGTGGCGGGGGGAGGTCTGTGCATGTTCAATGTGCCCACATGATTTCTTTCCCAACATTTCCTTCCAGGGTCGGTGAAATCTGTTGATGCTGAACCCACAGATTCTGAAGACTGACTATGCAAAAGGATGCTTTTACATTCATAGGGTGCTCAAAAATCACCTTCAGTGATAAAGAGCAATGGGTCCCAGCGGCATCACTGAGTCACATGGAAGAGACATCGACATTCACCTTCGTGCCCGTCTCTGCTTTATATTTGCTACAGATAAACACGTAGTTAAAAAAGAAAGTATGGTACTCTAAGACAGCAAACCAAACCAACCAAACAAGCCAGCCAGTGCCTGCTATCGGTATTCTGATCTGGGCTGCAAAAGACTGCCGGGTTTTCTACTCATGGCCTGCTCTGCAGAGACTGTCCAGTGCCCTCTCATCCTGCTGTACCATTCGGGCATTGTTTGCTGTACTGCCCAGCACAGGTCTGGTGCTTCCATGGGCATTGCTTTGTAACCTCCATAGACATATACCCAGTATGAAAGAGATAAAAAGTCATAAAACCATTCTAGGTTTACCCAGAGATCCGGGAAAACATCAGCCTAGACTTATCCTGAAATCTATGCTCACCCTGAACACATTCCTCATCCTCCCATCTGGTTGGGTATATTAAATAGCTGTGATGGTCAAAATATCTCCATAAATCGGATGTGATAGTATACACCTATAAACCCAACACTAAGGAGGCAGAGGCAGGAGGATCAGTAGGCCATTCTTGGCTACGTAGGGGACTATCTAAAAACAAACAAACAACAACAAGAATAACCCCCCTCCCCAAAACCAAAAGCCAATGTGATAGGTCCCAAGCGGACCAAGCTAACTGACACGCCCTTAGCAAACAAACCCTGTCTTTCTCACTGTGTTAGCATACTGCCTGGGTTTAAATAATTAAGCAGAATTAAGCAGAGCATTGGTCCTTTCCGTCAATCACGGAATGTGAGTCCTTTGTTAGAAGGCCATCCTTATCATTACATTCCATCAAAGGGAAATATCAAATGAAACGTTTTCTCAGGAAGTTTTCTCAGTTGATAAATGAAAGACTTACTCTCAGAAGTGGGGAATCCCATCTCTTTCCCTCAGAAGGAAGAAGAGTGTGGTCTCCAGCTGACCTCTCTCTGAGCCCTGGATTGGTCTTGCCTGGGAAGACATCATTGGAACATGCCTGCAGGGGATTTATGCCGTCTAATTGGAGCGACGGTGACCAAGGGCGTTCCCTGGAATGCCTGCTGCAGCGGTAGACAATCAGAGCCCATAACCGTCTGCAGGTAATTAGGGGACAATATGAACTAGTCTAGACTTCGGATTCATTCTGGTTCCAGCACGCCCAGTCAATCAATAGGCATTAATCATCCCATGCTTATTGCAAACGTGATTCAGCCTCCGTGACTCATCAGCATCACACACAGGGAAGTCTGTTGTGACTGGAGATGGGCAGGAGAACCAGTGGAGAAACGAGCTTTGTCTGAAGGTGCAGGATTTCCAGCCGGCAAGTGATGAGAGGGCCCAGGTGGGGGTGGGGAACAAATGCCAGCCTGTGAGGAGCCCGGAACAGCACGTTTGGAAGGTGCCTACCTAGTGTTGTCTGCGCCATTAGGGAGCCCAGAGCTTGCACTTTTTTGATTTCCAAATATTTTTCATTTATGGATGCCTTATCCTTCCAACTCCCTCATACGCTCCAGAAGGGTAGGGACCACGTGGGTTCCATCTCAGTCCCTGTTGCCTAACTTGGGTTAGAGAGAGGTGGCCAGGTGGTCACCTAGGAACGGTGTCCCGTGTCTCTTGTCTCCTTGGTGATAGCTTTGCTGAGGCTTCTGGCCATTAAAAAAAAAAAAAAAAAGAAAGAAAGAAAATTTCTTAGGCTGACCCAATAAAGGTGAAGATTTCTGAGGTGTCATCAAGCTTGGGTGCCCAGGGAAACTTCTCTGGCCTGCTAATCACTGCAAAACAGGCTCTCTCACTCCGAGAGAGTTCCCCTCCTTCCTGTTCTCAGCTAGAAATACCATGAGAACAGACTGTCTCACAGTGTTTTCAGACTTCCACTGCTAGTCCCTGCCAAAAGCAGGAAGTGCAGAAGTGGGCGATGATTCTTTTTTTTTTTTTTCTTTTTAGAACACTTTATTAAAGAGTTTTGGTTGCTTCTTGTTTTCCTCCCTCCCCCTGAACCTCATTAGAATTAATTTGAGCAATACCTCCAATTTACTTGATGATTTTTCTAACAGGGAATAGAAAGGATTTTAGTTAGTAATGTCGCTCCCCGGTAAGGTAAACTAGAAGCAGGCACCAAGGACTCAGGCCGTCAGAGAGTGGGAGCACCCCGAGGCTTCTCTGCTTCCTCCACCCACCCACCCCTGTTTTTAAAGCTGATGAGAAAATTGAGATGGAACACTATTACATGGGGCACTTCTTACTCTACATAGGCAAGGCTCTAATCCAATCAGGAGGATACTCTGATTCCCCACGGTAGTGGAACATACCATGTCTCTTGTCCCACAGTGACGTGACCTGCACCTCCTCACCAACACCGCTCCGCAGTTGAGTCTGCCCTCTTTGCTTTCCCATGGGAAATCATGGGATTTCTTAATCCCATGAGTCAGCTTTTTTAATTTGTGAAAAGCAAATGCAGACAATGCATTAAGAGGACCAGGGAGGGACCCCTGCGTCTAAGTATCCCATTGAAGGTAGAGAAGTGAAAAGTGGAAGGGGGGAATTATGGAGGGAGGAGAGAGGAGAAGGAAGAGGAAGAGAAGAGTTGGGGTGAGAGGGAGGGAAAGAGGAAGGATGCAAACAGAGAAGCAAAGTGAGGTTGGGAAAGGGAAAGAAGGAGGGAAGGGAGGGAGGGAGGGAGAGAGAGAAGGAGGGGGAGGGATGGAAGGAGGGAGAGGAAGAGGGAGGGAGAGAGAGAGGACTAGGAAGCCATTTCCTTGCAGTAGACCTGCTTCCTAAGCTCAAGCGAAGCTATTTGAACCGCAGGTCATTTGAATGTAAACAATATGAAATGGGGTCACAGAGTTGGTAGGGCCCCCAGTCCATAAGGCTGGTGACCTTAAAAGAAGAGGGACAAAAAGTGATCTTTCCGTTGTTGGGCATACAGAATAAAGGGTGCCTGAGGACACCAGGAGAAATTGGCCACAGAAGATCTTACACTCCCAAGCCTCGAGAACGCTGGGAAATGAGTAAATGATTTTTAAATCAGCCAGGCTGTGAAATTTGGTTATCACAGCCTCGGAAGACTAATGGATAGATCGTCACTGATAAAACTCAGGTTCTAGGCTTTTTCTGCAACGTGAAAAGTCTCCTGATGGATCACTCCACACTGCCTGGACACACCTTGCGGGAGCAATGGCTTTTTGAGGTGCTCCATATCTCAAGCAGCAGATCTAAGATGAATTAACATAGGACTTGAACGTGGGTGCAGGACCGAACAACAGACTGAAGCAAGTTCAGCTCAAGGTCACAGAAAAGGACAGGCTAATGTTCATTAGCAATGACTCAGGGTCCTGCTCGCTTCTCCAGATAAAACTGAGTGTAGTCTAAAGCCCCCGAAGTTTGGCCTTAGGGATGCCAATTGCCCCTGTTAAGCTCTGTACAGAATTTTGTATTGAATTCTAAGAAAAATTATGCATGCCTCTCACCCCTACACCTCACTCTCACACCCCTTAAGTATGTATGATATTATCTGGTCTGCGGTAGCAACAAAGATGGTAGAAGAAAAAAAGCCAAGACATTCAGGACAGATAGTTGACTGACTAAATAGAGTAGGGACAGTTTAAGCAAAACCATCCAAGGGAGATGAGAAAGAGCAAAGACTCAGTGGATACAAACCAAATCCACTGCACCTCTCCAGTGGCCCCAAGGACTCCTGACAGTGCACATTTTCTACCTGCAGAAAAATATGATTCATTGAGGTCCCTCTTATTTCTGGGCAGAGTCCTCAGGGGTTAGCATGTACCTGCTCAATCATTTCTTGCAAGAGTCATGTGCTGTAAGCATGGCTGTCTCTACTTAGTGAGAACATGAAAGGTCCATGTCATTGACATGAACCCTGACACACAGACCCACCTGAGTCCAAAGCCTGAAGATCGCTAGTTTGTTAGAACTGATCATGCTTACTGCCAGTCAGACCTCAAACAGCAGCAGGGAATGGCTGGAGAAGGGGTGGGGACAGTGACACTCTGCCTTTGGCACCATAACTTCAGCGATTTCCCAAATGGCATTCTCTCCTCCTTGCCTCTCTGCAGGTCCCACTGTTGTCTTTAGGAGAGCACAAGGAGTCCGTGAGTGAGCGCAGTGCTGCAGGCAACACCAGGCCCTGGAGTTCTCTGCTCTCCTGCCTTTCTGCTTTTTTCAAGGCTTTGAGCTCTGTAAACTTAGTAGTTTTGAATGCAAGAGCCATTAGTGATCAAGTCAAGCTTTGGACATGTAATTCTATGAGAACAAGAAATCATGGGGATTTTGAAAAACTTGGAACTGAATTTTAATCTTGTTTGGCTACAAAATTTTCACCCTGTTTAACTCTTACATAATCTCTTTGTGGAGGCTTCTGCGTGTGTATGTGTGCATAGGTGTATGTGTGTGTTAATGTGTGTGTATATGGATAAGATATATGTGTGTATATTATATGTACATATATATGGGTAAAATATAGCATATGAGTAATTTATGTAGGAAGTATATAATATATATGGGTAAAATATATAAAACATGTGTATATATATACACATATATATGTATGTGTGTGTGTATGTATGTGTCAGGGCAATGAATGATTACAAGCTACTTTCTCCTTTGCCTGTGAGTGTAACAAGAACAAATAGCAAGACATGTTGCTTTTCTTCTTTTATCTTCCGAAAAGATCAACCAGAAACCCAATATGAAAAAAGCTAATGTGGTACGAAGTTTGCAAATTTAAATTGAGTCCTGCAGTCAAGGCATGCATTGTCTCCATAGCAACATCAGCTCTCATCTTGAGGATTTTCAGTCCTATTAAAGGCATTAAATCCAGACAGTTATGTATACCAGTGTGCACACAGTGTGGCTGAACTTGAGGTGGAAGTTTATTTTCCATGTTTTAATTATAGGTAATTGTGGGTGGGTATGCCTGTTGTGGGGCCAGGGGGAGGAACCTTGGACAAATGGATGGTATAAAGTACCAGGCTGGCTTATTTTGTTCTCCTCTTCATTTTTCTCCCTTTTTGCTCCATTTCCTCACTACCCTGGATTCTGAAAGGGAGAAGGATAATGATGTAGGCTTTGACCTACCCAAGAAAGCTACCTTGCTGTGTAATCCATGGTGCTACCTCCGAGAATATACAAAGCCCATTTTTCCACGTGGCAAGCTGGGAAAGGCGGAGATGACCATAGGGTGGCACAGCTGTGTAGCTGAGTCTACACTAGGCATCTGCATCACCTTTTAAAAAGTCTTGTGTCTGTGTATAGCAATATGGAGGGTGTGTGTTTGTGAGCATAACCACGTGTGCATGCATGCACATGTGATGAATTTAGAGGCATGCACAAGTACCACAGCACATGTGTGGAGACCAAAGACCAACCATAGGTCAATTGCCCCACTTCGTTTGAGGCAGGATCTTTCTTGTTGGACACCAGGCTAATGGGCCTATGAACTTCCAGGGATCTCTGTCTCCTCCTCCCATCTCCCCAGAGGAGGACAGGGATTACAGGCCCACGTTACTGCATCTTGTTATTTATTTGTGTTTGGGTTTTTTTTTTTAAAAAAAAAAAAACAAAACACAAGGCTTTTGGAAATTTGAACTCAGGTCCTCACGTTTTCAAGGCAAGTGCTTTAGACACTGAGTCATCTCCCTAGTCCCTGTATCACATTTAGTTATTGGCACAGAAATAGGCATAGGCACTGGTCTCAAAGAAAGTCAATCATTGGAGGGAAAAGGCGATGTGTCTCTCCCTTGTGAAGTTGGGGTGGAAAACTTAGTAAAGCCCCAAGGCAGCTGGAAAGGGGAGTTGTGCTCGATTTTTTTCATGAGCCATCCATGAAATAGAAAGAAAAGGACATGTGTAATGAACATTTCCTTGGTGGAAAAAAGAGTAATAATTGTAGATCCTGGCTAGCGACGCGGATGGTGTTCAAACGACTGAAGCAGATGGAGACGGCAAAGGTGCAGGAAGATTTGCTGAGTCTCCTCAGCACACGATGCCGAGGGACAGTCGTGGAGAGTCGGAGAGAGTGTAGGGGGGAGGCAAGGAAACGCAGCTTCAGTGCACTTTTAGTCTGAAATAGTACCAGGGTGTCACAGACATACAGAAACTCTGAATGAAACAGACAAATGGATGTGGCAGAAGGCTCATAGCAAAACCAGCCTGTGAGCATGGGGCTATTTTTAGGCGCCTAATGAA